TTACTGGGATCTCTAGATAAATAAATGACAGAAAGTTTACTGTGATCCCTAGATAAATCAATGGCAGAAAGTTTACTGTGATCCCTAGAAAAAAACAATGACAGAAAGTTTACTGTGATCCCTAGATAAATCAATGGCAGAAAGTTCACCGTGATTTCTAGAAAAAAAACAATGGCAGAAAGTTTACCGTGATCACTAGAAAAAAAAATGGCAGAAAGTTTACTGTGATCCCTAGATAAAACAATGGCAGAAAGTTTACTGTGATCCCTAGATAAGACAATGGCAGAAAGTTTACTGTGATCCCTAGAAAAAACAATGGCAGAAAGTTTACCCGAGTCATAGTTACTTTTTACTGATAATCTGCAAAATGAATAACCAATCAAAAGCTCAGAATGTACACCTAGTGGCTTTCTCAGCCATTTTGAAGTATTATGATGTCAACTCATTCTTTCAATACAAGATTTCAAGCTGGTAAATTCGGTCTGTAGTCTGCTCAAAATTTAATATTTTTTAGACCCAAATACAGCTATTATTAAGCTTGATAAATTATTGTGGAACTCTATGGTATTGATATAGTAATTTTATGATTTTTTTATTATATTCAAATGTATATACAAAACCTAAAAAAATTATTTCATTTCACATCCTCCACACGCAAAATTTGATAAGGCTTAGCAACCTACAGCAAGCAGCAAACAAATACAAAGCTTGTAACTAGAAGAGATAACTGTTTGCTTTACTTGTTTATTTACTGTTTTGAGTTTTAAGAAAGATAAGTTCAAGAACTTATTTGTAAATAGTAATAATGTATGTACATATATAATGTATTATAACTGAAATGTTACTGTATTTTACAAAATAGTAGTCCACCGAAACACAGCCGAGACAGGTCACTTTGTAAAGTCTATAGGCCAGTTTTATATTCTTGGTTATGGTAACATGAGTGCATGTGCGCTGCGTCATTGCAACTTGTGTACTGTTAGCCAGGCACAGCTGAAAGGTCAATATAATAAAAATAATAAATATATGTATAAATGTATATATATTATGAGGTTTAAGCTATTTAGACTAAACATTTGCATTTTCATGTTATTTTGTCATTCTAGAACAAAAAAAGCATAATTTATAGTTATTTCCTCATTTTTTTATGGCAGATACGAGGTCAGTCAAATTGACCAAACCCGTACAGAGATTCGATAGTGAAAATAACAGATAAAACATAAAGTTTTTACTTAAGAAATGTTTGATAACTATCTGGACATTATAAAGATTTTGCATGTGAAATTTGAAATCTTTCTGTTGCCGAAAAGTATTTTTAATCTTAAAATCAAAATTACTTTGCATGTTGGATAGTCAACATGTGAAAAGAAAAAAAGGCATGAGAAAAACAATACTTAAAATCTTAAAACTTTATAAAAAAAATTTGATATTTTGCATATGAAAGCCTTATACTTTTTACTGATAATCTGCAAAATTTTGTGAAAATATGCTTATTAATTTAAAAGTCATAACTTAAACTATATCAAGCACAAAATGGTTATGATGTCAGTCCCATGTACCAAGCCCGTGCTGAAAGAAAGTTTCCTGTTTTCACATTTTAGTTTCTTTTCTAATAAAATAGAATACACATGAAAAAAAAAGTACTTACTTGGATCATCATGTTTTTTTGCTGTCAACTATCAATGATACTTAACCCTACTTTTTGATACTAATGGTACTACTGCACTAAATATTTTTTATTTAATTAGATAATGAACCAGAGAGCACAGAATAATAACATGCAAAAAGCAGACAATGTCCTCTATCATAATTTCTCTGGCTTTATAACTATGTGACAAGAGCTGTAAAAACTTCATATAAGCTCATCTCTGTTTTTTTTCCCATGGGAAATTGATAATTCTCTTTACAGAAAACATTGTGATATCATATGGCATTTGATATAGATGAAAATCTTGGCTTTCTATTGGTTATGAATACTATTGTATTGAATGTCGGAAAGAACTATTGGCAATTTGTGAAAGAGAGGATGTGGTATAAAGGGTCTGGTTGTCTATTTCATGGCTCTCTAACCAAATGAAGTTGAAGGTTATGAAAATTATACTTAGCCTGAGTGATGATGGTATTATGATAAGTAATTTACATTAAATTTCATACTTCTTGAAGGGGTGGTAAATAAATTAGAGAAGAGGGGATGCCTAGATAGCAAATGTTCCAATTCTCACACTAGGGGAAATTCTAAATTTGTTATTACCTTATAAAAGTAATAAAATATGGATTATTAGCTGTGTTTTATGCTATATTTATTGGTATACCGTGAAAATAAAGTAGTTCAATTAACTTAAATGTAACTCAATGAAACCTTGTGACATGCACAGAAAAAAAGATTTCTGTGGAGAGAGGGTCAAAGATCAACTTATATGCTGATTATATTTCAAATGGAAAATGTTTTTTATCAATTGTGTAACTTTCCACTGATACCTGAATTTTCAAAGTGATGTATTTTGTAAGGATGATAAAGATGTAGAAACAAAATCTGGTAGATAAGCACTCTTTATTTCCTTAGATTGAAATGATATTGCTCCATTTCTTGATAATGCTATCTATTGGACACTTGATGCAACAGTGTGTTTTGGTGTGTGTTTTGTTATCAATATGAATTTATGATTTTTAAGTTATATATATATTTATCTATTTTTTCAAGCTCGTATGGGTGAGAGGTCTTTGTTTATGTTAAAAATAGATGTTATTCTTTGATCAGCTTGGGGGTCTTTTGGATAAACGGTATCAGAAACATGTAGCTGTGTTAGAAGAAATACTGTTGACTGTTTCAATACAATTGGGTTATAATTAAATGATTTATGAAATGATTCATTTATTTTTCTAAGTATTCCTTTGAAACATATATTTTTATTTACATAATATCGATAAAAACAGTCTGCAAAAAATTAATGGTCAATAGGATAAATTAGAAAAGCATATTTCCGAAAATTCCCAGGTTATTTATTGAATAAATAATTAATAAAATCATCCTTTTTTCTATTTACATCATATTGTCACATTTTTAGAATTCATGTTATAATGGTATGCCCAAATCATTCTAATTGGCATGAGACTTAATACACACCCTTGGGAAACCAACTGGTATATCTACATCCTATAGAACAGAAAATATTAACCTTGATGCGTGTGTACTTATTCAAAGTGCCCTAAATATCTGAACTTCCAACAATTTAAATTTGAATTGGAAAGCATCTCACAGATCTTTGTTAAAAAAGATTTTACACAGAAACAAACTAACCTAGTGAGCACCATCTCTTCATTGAATTTATCAGGGACAGTCTCATTAATGTATAGACATGACTTGTTAAAAACTCAACATCATTGACATTAATTTCTTAATTATACAGGAACCAAGAACAGTTTTAGATGAAAGACCATGGAATCAAATATGATTTTTAAGTTCAGCTTCTGTAGTCATTCATACATTAGTGAAATGGGGGAAGAATCGCCAGACTAAAGGAACGCCTTTAAAGACTTTCAACTGTTTATGGGCACCTTAAAGAAACCAATTATGTACAAGAAGAATCTTAGAACTTTGCAAAGAGAGCCCAACTTGAACTGACAATAAAAAAAGTAGCTGAAACATTTGTAATAAAAAAAGTGTGAAATATACACTTACACATTCTGTTTGTGTTCATTTTATTCTTCAACTTAGAAGATAATTGTTACTTATAATTGTATTGTTAACTATTATTAGCGTCCTAAGTCTATTGTTAAATTTAATTTGCTTAAACATTATTCAACTATGAGCTGATGATGGTTCATGTTGAAGGACCATTTTCTACTGTAAATCTGTTTTTACTTCATTTGTTTACACAATGGTTCACATTGGTTAAGAGCACAAAAACTTATCTTTCATTTTTAATAGTATTTTTTTTTTATTTACAGATATAAAGTATTTTATGTGATAAGAAATTATAATCCAAAATCTGGGGACAAAAAAAAATTTCTAACTAATGATTATTATAGTCTAAGGTTTCTATAATAGGCTATTTCAATTTTGTATGAAGCATTAAATGTTGTGGCTTATCTTCATTTGTTCTTGTTACAGTGACTGCTTTTGGTTTTAGCATAGCTGAAGCTAGGTTAGGACTAAGATGTTGTCATGGTAACATAGAAAGAGCAGTACAGCACATAATAACAAAACGAGAGGTGAGAAATATTAAGATTTATAATAATTTCAATCATTTATTCAACAGACTTACATACTGTAATGCATGACTACTTATCATTACCAGAGTGGTGCTAAAATAGACTTACGTAGTGTAGAAAAACGTTAAGTTGATTGAGTTCTTTGTAACTTGTTCCTAGACCTGTAGGAAAAGGCTATTATGATTGTACTGTTTCTAACTTCTTCCCTGCCCAATGGAAAATAAGTCAAGCTTATTTATATATGCATATATATAAAGAAAGAAAAAAAGAAGGGTATTGTAGCAATGATAAAACTCTTAATATTCATTATTAGAATAGCACATTAGTCCACTTATAATAATAATAATTAGTTTTGGGGAAATAGCAGTATTCGGTAGTGATTTTATTATCATTAATTCTTGTCTCTTATTAAAAATCTTTTCTCTATAAGATATTCTTGTTTCATTAGTAGCGTCTTCTGGTGGCAACCATCAAATAATACAGGTCAAGTATCCTACCGGATGTAACTTAATCCCCTTATGCACTAAAAATAATATTGTGGCCATAAAGTAAAAATTGAGTAAGGAGCTATCTGGTTGTGAGAACCTTATGTTGCTAGTCAATATATCAAAAACTGAATATTTACATGTGTTGTAATTAAAGATGTTTGGGAAAGGTATTGGTCAGGTAGACAGTTCTTGTGAATTTTAAATTCTGATCTGCCCCTAGTGGCTCAGCAGTAAGTTTTAAAGCTTATAAGTCTTAAAAACTGGGTTTTGATACCTATGGAGGGTGCAAAACAGATAATGTTTGGTTTAGCTTTGTGCTTAACTATGAAGTGCAGTGAAAGGGACAGATCTGTCTACTTACTTGTTTAAAAATATATATATATATATATATAAATGATATAATCAAGATTAACTTACTCAGGACAGGTGCAAAAAAGTCATTGGAAGAACCTGCTCAATTATAGAGATATGCATAGTATATGTTCAGTTATATATAAATTATTGAATATTTGCTTTTGAAAAAAAGAAATATTACTTAGTATTTTTTTATTGCTGACCAAATATCTAACAATTTACATTATATTTCAGGAAAGAGAACAGATGAGGATAAAGGAAGATGAGGAAAGGAAAAGAAAGAAGAAACAGAAGACATTAGGAAAGACATTATCTGGAGACTGGTATTACGTTAAAATGAAGTTGCATCATTGAAATACTTATCAAAGTGGTTTTAATATAACATAGAAATTATGCAGACATTGAAAATGTGTATTGAAAAAACTAAACTTACCCTTACTCTTATATATAGAAACTTTTAAGAAACAGGATTTTTCTTTTTGCTGTTTTTTAAGTTGTAAAATGAAATAGGAACAGGTGTGTGTGTTTCTAAGACCCTGTTTGTTGATGTTGCGACATATCTGATTGGATGCAAAGTATAGACACAATATAACTGAAGAAAAGACACAACCCCCCTCTTCTATCATTCTTTAACCAACTAATTGTTCTGACATCACATGGTCAAGTAAACAATCTGTCATCATTTTATCTAGTGTACAAAATAAACATTCTGTCATTGTTTTATGTAGGGATCACAGTAAACTTTCTGCCATTGTTTTATGTAGGGATCACAGTAAACTTTCTGTCATTGTTTTTTCTAGGGTTCATCCACGCTGTTTTCCCTGCTGATTTTTCCAAGCCCTTTCCCTTGGCTGTGGTTTCACTAGATAGTAGATAGGGACAGTGGGAATCTCGTTAATCCATTCATGTGTGTCACTAATTAGATGACAAGGCATTTAGCTACCTTAAGAGAGTCATAGTTACTTTGGCTGTGGTTTCACTAGATAGTAGATAGGGACAGTGGGAATCTCGTTAATCCATTCATGTGCGTCACTAATTAGATGACAAGGCATTTAGCTACCTTAAGAAAATCACTTAGCACTTGGACTAGTATATAAAAATACTCGATATATTCACTGGAAAATCATTAGTAAAAATACTTCATTACAAAATCTGATCTTTTTGTATACAAAAGACTTGTAATGTTTACTAAAGGTATGCCAAATTTTGTGAAGATACACAAAGTGTATTAAAAGTTATATTATGAGGTCGGTCGATTTTTCCAAGCCCGTTCCCTTGGCTGTATAAGGAAGTGTTTCCAAAAATAGAAAGAGCTGGGTGGGGCCACTGTGTTTGATTCAGTACATGAGAAATATCTCAGCAAATAGAAAATATAGCAGGTTCATATTTTATATTCTAGCTTGTCAACATCGGTAATTTGAGTTCCTAATTCTTATGAAACTACAGACTTTGTATTTGGACATCACAAACACCTAATTTGAACCTATGCTGCATTCAACATACCATGTGACACACACAAATTAATATTTAGGTGTTATTTTAAATTAAGAAATCAACTAATATATATAATACTAACATTTGAATTATAACCCACAATTTGATATCAAACTTATTG